AATACAGGGCAGCCAATTAGAACAAACAAACAAACAACAAACACATGCACACACACACACACATAACCAGGTCACCAGGGTCCTCTCTGTGTGGAGTTTGCATGTCCCTGTAATTGTGACTGTGGCTGTGTGACTTGTCCAGGGTGTTTCCTGCCTTCCGCCCAATGAACGCTGGGATAGGCTCCATCTCCCCCGCGACCCAGGAGGATAAGTGTATGTATCCAGAGTATATATAAGTATATACTCTGTGTATATAGGATAAGTATATGTATACATATATTGTCGCTGTCCAATGAAAAACATATATCTCCAAAATAGTAACTTTACAGGAGAGGGCAAAAATGTTCTTTACTTTCAATGTAAGTTAATGGAAAAAGGTAGAGAGAGAGAGAGAGAGAGAGAGAGAGAGAGAGAGAGAGAGAGAGAGAGAGAAAGAGAGAGAGAGAGTATAATCAATAGAGGATGCTGGATGTGTGAAACTGTATCAAGGAAAAGGGAGGTTATCCAAAAGAACTTAAAATCAAACACAGCTAAGGCCTTCTTTTTGGTATCTTCTTCATAATGTAAATAAATAAATAAATAAGTAAGTAAATAAATAAATAAAACTGTTCTGTAAGTAAATGTCCAAACTTTTGTCTGGTATGTTTGACTACCATTGAAAACACTGGAAAATATATGTTGCTCTGAATTTACTTGATTCAGATGTGTACATGTGCCCTTTAGTTTACTTACTTTTGGCAAGAACTGAGATATTGTATTTCATAAATGTGGAGCCGGTATTTAAATCAGGTAAATTCAAACCAGCACTTTTTTCAGTGAAAGTTTGTCATTTTTTTTAAATATTTGTATTTATCGTGAAACCGTATTTATCGTGTCATACTGTTGCATCGATTGTATCGTGACCACGTTGTTATATGTGGCAGGACTTCAGACCGTTCTGTCTGCTACAGTAACTCTCGGTGGCTCCTTTACAGTCCAACAGCCACTCTTCTGCTGCACCCTGTCAGAGGAAAGGATTGTCACTGGGGTGGTGCCCTGAAGGGTACATCTCAGTACCTCTAATTAGGGAACGTGACTACCATATTCCATTGAAATGATATTTTCTAAGTTGTATTGACTCCACCCTATCTCCACTCCAGCCCTTTTATTTCGTTGTTCTGCTTTGAAATATTGGCTTATGAAAAGTACAAATACGTACATTTGCCCTGAAAAATATATGTAAGGTTCACAGTTGGACCTTAAACCACTGTTGTACCTTTAAAAGTTCATTCACATTGTTTGTACCTTGATGATCGAATCATGTTCGTGCTCAGCGCCTTTTTTCTGACACTGTGTTGGCAGCGCTGTCGATGCTCTGCACTGCAGAAAGCCTGAACACGCAGCGGCCGCTCCGTTTGCTCTGCGGCTCCATTGTGCTCTGTGCTATTAGGAGCTGATTATTTGCCTGCTGTCTCGCTGTGTGAAGGTATGATCTGCGTCAGATAGAGCTGTTTGCTGTCGGATCAGGTTTCGCCTCCCATTACCTGCAGACTACCGGATTTGTCTCAGCAAACACTGTTAAGCTTTGAAAGACTGAAGGATAGCACTGAAGACTGACTTCCGGCTGAGGAGGCGAACAAACACGGTAACTGAGCCAAAGGTGCTCACCAGCCACCAGTGGAGCACAGGCGTCCCTATGAAATTGGACTAATATTTCATGTATATGTAATATATACTGTGTGCAATTAATAATCTGAAACTTAGGAATATTACGTTTCAAATATTTTACTAAAAATATAGACTGTAAAGATTTATTGGCTTCTGTACTCTATAAACTTTAAACACTTACTGAACTACTGAGCAAACTAAATGAATTAACAAGTGAATTTGGAGTTAAGTCTACAAGTATCTTTTAATTTAAATGATCCTTTTTAGTTTGAATTGTTATTATTAAAAAATATTTTAAGCAAACTGTTGATTCTTAAGTAAAAAAGTACAGAAATTCTGAGGTTTGGGACCAAAAGTTAATATCTAAATTATACTGGACATTTGCTATTACAGTTCTTTCCTGGAGTAAAATTTCAGTTTGTTGAGAAATAAGTAAAATTGCTGAAAACTTTGTCAAGCATATTCAAAGAATTTGATAAATATTTGGTGAAAATATTAATTTTAGTTTGTCTGCCCAATGCCACAATCTAATATGAACACATGAAATACTTGGTTCAAAAAAGTTCCACAATTTAATTTAAATTTTGTTTCGAAAAGTTTTTGACAATTTTCTTTAGTTGATTTAATGTGAAATGTTAAGTTAACAGAGCAACTTTTTGTGTCTTAAATTGTTATTTAAAATTGATTTAAAATTGGACTGTCTAAGCATTTACACCAACATCAGGAGGCTGTGAGTTCGAATCCCAGCAATGCCACAGACATTCATAACTGGGGACGCAAGAAGAAAAATGGCTGGTGGGATTGTGTGATGGAAGGAGTCCTAAAAATAGGTAAAAAAAACGTTTCTGTACCTGAGATGCAGAACTAAAAATGAGTTACCCTCATTTTAAAAAGGGTTCTGCTATTGTTGTAATGTCAAGCATGTAACAATAGAAGAACCCTTTTTGGTGCTGTATGGAATCATATGCAACACATTCTCCATCAATCTGAAGAACCTTTTCACCATGCAAAGAACCATTTAAGCATGCAGATGGTTCTGTGAGTGTTCATGGCTCTATATAAAACCATTGTCTTTCACGAAGAACCATCGAAGAACCGTTTTAACCATTATTTTTAAGCGTGTAGGGAAACTAATGCCTAAACTGAGAAGTTTGAAGTGGGAGAGCTCGAGCCCTCAAGTTGAGTTAACTCAACAAACTTGTGTGAAACTTGTTTTTATAAACTGAAACTCAGCATTAAAAAGACAAATATGCCACTCAAAAAGACAAATATGCCACTTCTTTTGAGGTTCTTTCAGACATTTGCCAGGTTTTATTGTTGATCTTCTGGCTGAGTGCGCGTGCTTTTCTGTGTAAGGCCGAGTGCGAGCCTGGAGCTGCCTGTGTTTACGTCTGATTTGGCGCTGCTAAGCAAAGAACAATTCCCATCTCTCTGTTCGGTTTTCCCCCTGAAGGACCAAGCAAGTGTGTTCGCGCGAAGTCCTCATTCTCCTTGTGAGAAACTTATAATGGACAGCTGACTTACTTAAAACAGACACAGTTTACTAGAAAAAATAACATAAATGCATCACCTTGAATCCCCCCATCTCCCTCTCCCTCTCTGTAAAACTCAGAGTGATCTAAACCCTACTGAGCTGAGCTGCAGTTCCACTGAATGCTGGATGAAGGGAATGCTGGGTTGTGTTGGAAGGTTTACTTTTTTGTGCTTAAATGCCGCAACGACTTCAATTACAAAGTTCATGTGTTTTTATAATATTATTAGAGGTTGGTTACATACAGACAACTGTATGAACAATAAGAATAATGTAAAGGGAGATTGTGAATTATGAATCTCTCTTTACATTATTCTGAATATTATACTCACAGTAACAAAAACCTAAGTTTGTTTTGCTACTCTGTGTTTTCCACAAAAAATCCACTGAAATAATTCTACAGAACTCTTCAAGTATATAAATCGACTGAAGGCATGGAGGGATAAATAAATAAATAAATAAATATGTACATAAATAAATAAACCCCTGGCAGATTGAATTGAGAGAAAACTAAAAAAATGTAAAAATGTAAAATAATATAAATAATCTGCATCGCGTCATTTTACTGTTTAGCAATTTTATGTATTGTAATTCTGTTATATGCTGATGCAAACGAGTCAATACAATCTTTATCTTTGATATTCTTAATATTATTCGACATTACATAATAAAATACCCTGATATACCATTGGTTCCTGATGATGTTGTAATGTGTTTTGGCTTTTTAATGGGTTGACGTCACAATGTAGTGGTTTAACAAGCGACCAGTGGCTGATACTAAGTGCATTTGATGGTTTCCATATTTCCTTATATGATCTAAAGATGTTACACAGGAAACTAGTGGTCTCCACTGGAAACCATTGGCCCAATTCTCGTTAGAAACTAAGACTATTAGGTTTTAACCTCAGTGATTTCTAGTGGTCCTTTTTCAGGAGAATGTTAATAATAAAGAGTATACAGACCGTTTTCTGTCTCTGTGTAACTGAATACCGTCTTGGAGCTGCGCGCTTATCAGGAGAACATCAGATACGCAGCTCATCATCTCACCATCACATCCTCACACTCACGTCAGCACGAGCCGCGCATTAAATCAGTGTCTGTGTTCAGGCTGCTGACCCGCTTCAGCACAAAGAGCTCATTTCAGCTCGAAGCTGAGGCTTCCTCTGTTACAGCCTCGCAAAACGTTCTCAAACAATAAACAGAAACGCTGTTAATTAATCCCGCGTCGTGTGACGTGATCAGCGGTAATTGTTTTCATTAATGAATCTTTTCTTGTCTCCAGCTGGTTGAGCACTGAGATAAAGAGAGAGTAAAGAGGAGAATAAAGACAGGATAAAGAATGCACAACAAGCAAAAATCCTTTTCTTTTAACATGCGTTTATTAGACACAGTTGGATTTATAAAAAATATAACTGGCATTTTGCTGCAGCGTTTCTCTTTCACTCATACATTCCTGTAACAGCCCACACTTCATAGCTCATACTTTATCAGCACACACGTATTTAGATTCAACTTTCCAAATGAACACAGTCCACATCCAGAACAGGGCCGTTTTCACCAGTCTCTGTTTTACAATCTTCTTTTTTGCATTATTTTGAAAGGAAAAAACAGGAAAAATTGTCAGAAAAAAAACGAACAAAGTAAAAACGCTAGTCGACTGCAAATATTGCAGAAATCATCTGTGGTGATAAACTCCCACAGTTCCAGCTACCAAAGTTAAATTAATGGTGTTTAATCCTCTGCGCATGCGCGTTTACACCGCTCGGTTTGACCGTAATAACTTACTGCTGCCGCCGTCCTGAAGCTGCTCCTCCCGGCTGAGTGGGCCACTGTGGAGGAGGGAGGAGGGTGGGTTAGGAGGTTGTGGGGGCTCCGGGCAGGCCGGACAGCACCTCCTGCTGCTGTTTACCCACAGGACTCAGAGGACTCGGGGGCTTTCTGTCCCCCACTGCAAAAAACAACACAAACAACAGAGTGAACCCAGACTCGCCCCTTTAGCTGAACTAAAGCCTGAACTACACTGCCTACATGGAGAGTTCTGAATATGTTTTATATAAACAATAAGGACTAAAATGATGCAATTCTAACTTACAGAACAATAATTTGTGTTGCACATTTGTTAACTTATTATTTAAAATTCAGTTAACTCACTACTTAAATATTGAGTTCATTAAACCAGCAGTAAGTTAATAGAACAGTCATTTTTAAAATTGTCTGCGTGTATAATAATATAATAATAACTATAGAAATGCTTGTGCTTACAATGTTAGCAAAAAGGGTTCTATATAATAACAAAAATGTTCTTTGTTAAAGGTTCCAGAACCATTTCGTTTACCAAACAACCCTTGAGGAGCCATTTTAAGTGTGTAGTCTTTAAAAAAATGCCTTAAATTATGTGTGTGTGTGTGTGTGTGTGTGTGTGTGTGTGTGTGTATTTAAAATAATCTCCATTTTCAATGCAAAACTCAAGTGCATAAAAATGACAAACAGTTTGTAGTTTAATTTTGAATTTGTTTAAATAAATTTTATAAAATTTCTATATGCACTACGATGTAAAAGGTATTTCCAACGTTTAAAGCTCCATTTAAATTTTGTATTTTTATTAAAATTACAGCTAAATTTAAAGAACCAGTCATGCATTTAGAACGTTCTTTGAGAGTTCATAGAACCTTTATTTGGTACCACATAGAACACATAAAACCTTTTTTAAAACGTTCTATATAGTACCCCAAAGGGTTCTGCTATTGTAACAGTGACACAGAAATTATTTCTCTGTTAACTTTTAGAAATTCAATGACTTCAAAATCTTAATAATATGAGTGTATAATAATCACTTGTAATAATAATAATAATAATAATAATAATAATATAATTGTCTGGCCTCATAGTCAAAGCCTGATGACATGGCAGTCAATAGCTTTGATGGTTCTTTCCATCATATATGTTCAGGCTACTGAATGCAGTTATAATACAGTGCAAGTAAATCTTAATTATGTGTGTAATTGGAAAACAGCACTCACACATGCAAACACAGCAACATTAACTTTATGACTGAATATTATTTTGCCCCGCCTGCTGGTGCATGGTGACGTAATCAAAAATCCGAAGTTGTTTTAGAGGCGGGGCAAACGTCATTATATTCAGAGGGAAGTTTACAGAAAAGGGAAAAAGTTGTCTTTTAAATGATATGATGTGATATGATATGATATGATATGATATGATATGATATGATGAACCGTGCTTAAAATGATCAAGAACATGAACTAACAAGCTCAAGGTCAAGTCAGGTTTCTGGTTGACTATTGTTTATGAACTGTGGTGGTCTGATTTGTTGTCCATCGTAAAGTTTAAAAGTTAATACAATGTGAAGCTGCTCAGCTCTCAGGTAGGAGATTCCGAGTATGCGTTGGTTTAACATCTGTGTCATTACACTCTAATAACATATATATTACGGTGTAATTAAACTTTTTTTTTTACATTGTGGCGTCCGCCACGGGCTCCGCGTTTTCAAGGAGGGTGGCACGCAAAGTTGCGCCTGCACGCGCCACTGCCTCCCATTAAAAAGGACATTGCTGTTGTAGTTGATGTTGTTGTTTGTTAGTTTAAGACGTGTCTACGTGTTGGCTGTGTTTAATTGTGCTCTGCTGTAGGTTAGTGTGACTGTAGTGGTCACCGTCAGTGTGTGGTGTATGGCTAGCGGTGACCTTCCCTGCTGTTTTCCCTGCGATTTACTGGCCTAGCTTTTTATTTTGCTCGAGCAGAAAAACGGCATCTTCTGCATTCCAAAAATAAATTGTTGTATGAACTTTATTGATGTATTCCACACATTTCCAATTAATCTCTCTGAGTAAAGTCAGTGAAAACAGTTGTAACCGCAGCACAAAGTTCAATTATTCATAGAACAAATTTGAAACATTTCAGCCCAATTTATTTGTGTTTTATTGGAGTGGAACTCTTTTTGGATTAAAGTAAACAGTTTTCATTCATTGTGGCGTACTTTCGTTATTTTTGTTTATTTTATGTAAAGCAGCTATTTAAAGACAACATAATTCATTTATTTAATGTTCGATATGTTTTCAGTTTGTATTGTTTCATTTTTTCTTCTGTTTAAATCACTTCTCTTCTCGTCCTCAGTGTGGCTCAGACCCGCTATAATCTGGGTTTGTGTTCAAACCTTTGCATTAGAATGTATACATTCTTCAAAAAATGGTTCTTCAATAGTTCTTTAGTGAAGGGAATGGTTCTATATAGACCCATAAACACTCAAACAACAATTTGCATGATTAAATGGTTCTTTGCATGGTGAAATTGCGCCTCAGATTGATGGACAACGTGTTGTATATGGTTCTATTTGAAACTTAAAAAAAAAATGGTTCTATATAGCACCAAAAAGGGTTCTGCTACTGTTACGATGTCAAGCTTGTTACAATAGAAAAAACTTTTTGGTGCTATATAGAACCCGTTTCAAATCAGACAACTTATTTTGGTTCTATATCGCAGAACTCTTTTTGTGCGACAGAGAACCATTTTCTTTTCTAAAGAACCATTTTTTTTTCAAAAATGTTTATTCTAAAAATAGCTGGTATTTGCGAACCATTCACAGCATGTTCTCCATCTGTCTGAAGAACCATTTCACCATGCAAACGGTTCTACATAGAACACATGGTGGTTCTAAATATAAATCGTTGTCTTTACGAAAGAACCCTTGAAGAACCGTCTAAAATACCCAGTCTTGTGTCATTCTCAGCATAAATGGAGATCAGTGGTGAAAGAATATCGATCATGTAGATGATGTTAGACATAATCATAACTCTGACGTCACTGTAAGTCCATCAGGAAGCAGTGTGTAAAGAAGTTTACCGTGTGTTGGTCGTTTGAAGGTCATGGCGCTGTGGAGGTTGTGGCCGTGCTGCCCCATCGCCCCCCCGCCCGCGTGACTCAGAGCCCCCGCGCTCTGAGACTGCCAATGAGGGCTGTAGGTACCGGAAGCTCCGCCACACGCGCTTACGCCGTATTGGCTGGCTGAGTAGGCGCACGCGGGCACATACCCGGTAAGATTCGGGGAAGGCTGTCAGAGAAGAGAAGCCAGAACGAGGCGCACTTTATTAACAGATCCACTGAATACAGAGATGAACACGCGCACACCCCTGCTTCATACCACACACACACACACACACACACACACACACACACGGAAAAGACAAACTTGTTTGGGTAAATACACTCAAATAATCATTCTTTAGTTAAAGTTAATTGAATTACGAAAATCATTTCCACACAATTACATGACGTCTTTCCAAAATATTAAAAAAAAAACATTTCGTTTATCCAACATAATTTACTTAATTGAACTTTTCCAACTGAACTAATTAAAGTTCATTAAAGATTGTTTACCCAAGTGCACATTTAGTGACTGGGGGGCTCTAGGCAGAAGACAGTAATGGGACCCTCTGGATGCACAATTTTAAAGAGTATTCTTGGGCTTCATTCACAAGCTGTTCTTAAGAAACAGTAAACAGTCCTACGGTTTAAGAACATGCCATGAATCTGACCTAGACCTTCTCTTAGGACCTTTCTCAAGAACACATCTAAGAAAAAACTTAGGAACATATTAGTAAATTAGGCCCATTGCACATGTTTATAGAACATTTTTGTTAAATCATTTTATTAAATGAGATTTTCTCACTATTTTTCTTATATATTTTACTTGCTTTAAGGAATAACGCTAGAAACACTCAACATTATCTGTGTAGTGAGACAGTTTGGTACAGAGTGACATTGAAGCTGTGTGAAATGAGATTACATTTGCCAGGATTACATTTTAGATTTAACAGGAATTTCAGAATCAGCTTTTAGAGTAATAATCCTAACTCTGAAGTAATCTGTGCTAACATCAATGCTGTTGTGTGTGATCTGCTGAGCCTGTGCAGCGCTCTGGTCTAATTGAAAATTGATTAGCCCACCTTTGAGACCCTCTTTTTGCAATTGGTTGACTTTATTTGATTTCACTTCTTAAGATCCAGAAAAGCACACAGAGCAACCTCCTCTGAGGCATCATGTGGAACCTCGTCTACATGGTGCCATGTTCATATCAGTGTGGCTTCATGCAGTTGCATCATCACATAACAAAAATATATATGGAATAGTCGATTATAGTAATGGGGGGTGGGAGGGTGCATTGAAATTACTAAAATTAGTTGTTACAATCACAAATTTTTTAAAATATGCATTCTTAAAAAGGTGGTTCTTTAGAAATGAAAATGGTTCTATATAGCACAAAAAGGGCTCTGCTATTCAGAACCAAAAAAAAGGTTTTCTGGTTTACTAAGAGTTCTATACAGCACCAAAAAGGGTTCTGCTATAGTTTCAATGTCAAGCTTGTAACAATAGAAGAACCCTTTTTGGTTCTACATAGAATCATCTACATGACATTCTCCATCAAGCTAAAGAACCATTTCACTAGCAAAGAACTCATTGATCATGCAATGTGTGCTTTGAGTGTTAATGGTTCTATATACAACCATTTCTTCATGAAAAAAAAATCTTTTTAAAGAGTATACATACATTTTGTTTTAGGTTATTTAACATCAGCACGTACAGTGTATTAAATTTGTATTTTGATGGGGGCCTAGATAGAGGTGTCCAACCTTATCTGCAAAGGGCCGGTGTGGGTGCAGGTTTTCATTCCAAACAAGAAGAGCACACCTGATTCCTCTGGTTTAACCAGTCTCAGTCTTTAAACTGATCATGTGTGTTCTTGCTTTGTTGCAAGGAAAACCTGCTACCACACCAGCCCTAAGACTGGGCACCCCTGACCTAGTGAAAAGACCAAACCTGTATGTTGGTCTAATTTGTGCTGGTTGAGTTGGTTTATAGGTTTGTACACTGATAAGTTCACTTTACTCAAACTATTCGAAGTAACTCTTCACCTTAAATTCTCAAAGTTTTGAAACAATTTTTTTAAAGTTGTCTGACATGAGCTTAAGTTCAGGTAAGTATTACATTATCAAATTATTTTTTTCACAACACTGAAATAATTGTAATGATCATGAGCTGAGACTTTCAAAAGAGCTTGTAGAGTAACCTAGAGCTTTGAGAAACACTACTTAGTTGGCAGTAACTTCAACTGTTTTGTTACAACCAAACTGGCTCAGCAGAGACACTAAACACATTCTTGGTTAGGATACCTGAAGCATGTGAAGAGACATTTTAAAAAATGATGGTTCTTCAAGGGTTCATTAATAAAGAAAATAGTTCTATATAGCACCAAAAAGTGCTCTGCTATTGTTACAACCCAAGCTCGTACAACCTTTTTTGGTACTATATAGAACCCTATAGAGCACATTCTCCATCAATCTGAAAAATGCTTTCACAGTGTAAAGTACCCTTTAATCATGGAAAAAGTTCTTTGAGCGTTCATGGTTTTATATAGAACCATTTTCTTTACCAAAGAACCCTTGAACAGTCATTGTCCTTAAGAGTGTATTTGGCATTTGAATGGGTTGTTTGTTTGAAAACAGCATCTGAAGGAAAAATAAGGGCTAACAAACAAAAATGACCTATGCCGCTTGGAATTCTGGGAAACTCTGCCTCATACTTTCATATTTCATGTCTTTTTAAGTTTGTTCAAATCACAAAAGTAGTGACTAATTGCAGGAAAGTAAGTAATTACAACTTGATTGTTTAAGTACAAATAATGGCTTTCAGTGTAGAGCCCATTTACTTTAGAATCAGGCTCAGAACATGGAAAAGCATACAATAACAAGGTTAGGCATTTAATCAATTAACTGCCCAGGAGAAAGGACAGCACAGAGATTGTAAATAAAACAAGGGGAAGACAAGCCTGATATGCAAATAGATGGAGCCGAGAGCCAATAAAATCTTTGAGCATGAGCACTAATCAAAAACATCCCCCTAACTCAAATTAGCTGAGTAATATGGAATGTGGAAAAACACAGCTCATTCTCTTTTATTTGACTTAGACTTTGGCTGATTTAATGCTTGAGATAATTACATTCTGTCAACACTATTACTTCAATTGAATTTCAGTCAATATCACCTTCATTTGTTTTTTTACCATGTACAAGAGCCACTTTTTTTTACAAGAGTCTATTTTGAATTTGAGTCAAAATTGAAAGGAAAACATATTTGAATGATAAAACACAATATTAGGCTGTACATGTTTCACCCCAAACCATAAATAAAAAGCTGTGAAGTGTGTAATAAGTTATGTGTGCACTGGTCGAAACTGGAAAATATTCTAGAACTTTTAAAACTGGATACTGTGAAAAGGTGTTAGCTCTTATACACTCAAAAAAAAACTAGTATATAAGCTCAATTCAGTTATGCCACACATTTCCATTCAATCAAATAGAGCAGAGTCAGTATACACAGACTTTGTTGCCTCAATTGTTAAAAAAATGTAAACATTTCAGTGCTGTTTATTTGCATTTCATTGAAATGGAATTCTCTTTGGATCAAGTTAATCTATTTTCATTCATTAAATTTTCATTTCATTTACCTGTTACTAAAAAAACAACACAATTCATTTAGTATCAACATCTTTTCAGTTTGTAAGTCAAACATCCCCAATAGTTTTTTTTTTTTTAGTTTAACTTTTAGTCTCAGGTCAAGTCCACTTAAACTACAAAGTTTAACCTCAGTGACCTCATGTGGAAATGGTTTATTAACTGACTTTTTTTTCAACTGAACAACTGCAATACAAACAACAAAACAAACAAAACAAAACATTTTCTACATTTTAGTTTTGATGTACAAATGCAACATTTTGCATCAATTTAATCCTCAAAAACACATCAGATCAACTTTTATACAGTGTAGATTCCCCAGTTCACATTCATCATAGTCTGGGTTAGGTTTCACTAAACTCAACACAGTGAGGCAAGTTTAATGACTTTACACACTCCAGTAGCATCACTTTTAGTGTGGGAAACGTTCTGCAGTAAAGCTTACCTGGTTGTATTTAATGTCAGCTTCTATGGGTGATTTCTCGATGCCGTTGAGTCCATGGCTGGAGGGAAATGGTGTTCTGTTAACACTCGCCCACTCCTCCATTTTTGGCTGATAGCCCTCAGGACCAGCGATCGCTACAGACAAGCAGGAAGCACCAACTCTACATCAGCGTATACAGAATACTATAGACATTTTGTTTACTGTATGCTTTCTTAATTTATACAGAAACTACTACTGCTGCTAAAACATGGACTACTGTCTCAGTCTGTGGAGACCAAATTACATGTTTTGTTGCTTACATAGAAATAGAAATGCCATTTCCTGCTGATTTTAGTCTGTTTATTTGCTGAGGAAAAACATAAAAACATAAAATGTGCCATAATTTTTTCACAGGCCACAATTTAGATTTTATTTTCCCCTCAATGTGTTCAATATAGCAAATAGACAGTAACTGTGCATTAAAATGTGCTTGCACTTATTTTCACAACAAAGCATGTACTTTGACCAGGGGTGCCCAAACTTTTGCATGCAACTGTGTGCATTTATTAAAATCAGGCTAATTTAATCCACCCATGATAGAATGTCCAAAATGTTACAGGTACTGTCTCTGACTGTTGAGATGTGTGACCTCATGTCGTTATACACATATAGGCACAGTGATGGATGTAGTGTTTGGTCTGCAGCTGCTCTGCTACAGTTACGGTATAGAACTCCTGCTGTCTGAATGACTGAAATTCATATTACATCCAGACTAAAGTCCCCCTATGAGTCTGCAGATGGTCAATGTAAATACAGGTTACTGTGCCAAAAATAATAAAGCCCATATTTCACTGAGGCTCAGGCAAAAATACAGCGTTTAAATAAATGTATAGATGTGTAGTTACAGAGGACGCATCGTTTTTGTGATAAAGAGCAGCAATATAATCAGTCTGTTATCGTCATGATAAAGACATATGATATTACGCTACAATGCACATACGCAATGTCAACGCTTATATTTCAAAAGTAATGATCAAATGTCGAGGAAGATAACTTGACAATATTTTATCGTTTAACAACTTCTTGGTGTTCCGAAAACTAAAAAAGGAATTTAAAACTTACCTTCAGTTAAATATTAATGAAAATAACTAACAAAAAATGATTAAAATTCAATGTGACCGGTAGTGTAAATATTAGAAAAATAATTTGAATTAAATATTTATATAAAATTACAAAATTTAAATGGACCTTTAAAATACAGAAATACCTTTTAGTATTTGCCTTAGGATATTTACATTTACATTTTAGTGCATACGTACAATTTCATTTAAAATTTTATGAAACTTCACACAATAAATCAGACACGAATGAAAAAGCAAAATGTTGTCAGCTTATACATCTGAGTTTTGCGTTCAAAATGGAGACTGGATAGAAAATATACATTCATTAAAAATGTAAGCTTTTAACGCATTTAATTTAATGCATTTTATATACAAACTGAATCGTCAGTATTTTGCTACTGAAATATTTCAAAAAGACAAGCATTTAAATAAGAATTTAAAAAGCTATCTGTACAAGAATAAAAGAATATGTACAATAACATATGTGCTCTGTTTTGGTGACGGGGTGAGGTTGGGATAACTTTTTTTGGGCCAAATCAAACGTCCTCACGCGCTAAAATTGGGCAAGTCTATTGGTGCTAGTATGCTCCCTCTTGGCCAGTCTATAACAACAAAAACCGCATTAGGCCAGATTAACCCGCATGCAGGCCTGTAGGTTTAGCCGCACTGCTAGACTGCTGTGTAGGGCGCAGACTTACCTGAGGGGTCCATGAAGGCTCGTATCCCTAAAATGTTGCTGACCGTGTGCACGGAGGGCCAGGCCCTGGACAGCCCCATGTGGCCCGCCGTCACGGCCACCCCGGGAGGGCTGCCCAGCTTGGCGCTGCTGGGCGACACGGCGTTGGGGTAGGAGTAGGGGTAGACGGGGCCGTAGGGCAGCTGCGGAGCGGAAGGTTTCGCGCCCTCGTACTGGCCCGGCTGAGACAGGTTCCCGATCTTATTCCTCAGAATCCGGCTGATGGAGCTCACCGACGGCACGTTGTATTTGTCACAAACTCCGTCGGCCAGGAGTCGGTCCCGTATCTCCCAGGCGAAAATCCCCGGGTCCGACTGCTTGTAGTCCCGTATGCTCTTGACCACGTTGGGCGTGGTGACCCGCGGCTTGCTGCCGCCGATAGCTCCGGGCAGAATGGAGCCCGTCTCGTTGTAGCGGGCTAAAATCTTGCTCACGCAGCCGTGGGACACGCGCAGCTGGCGGCTGATGTCGCACGGCCGGATGCCCAGCTGCGCGAGCTCCACGATCCGGATCCGCACGGCGTTGGGCAGCGGCCGTCCGTTTACGAACACGCCGCCCAGCTGGTTGACCTCCCCGTACGGCTGCTCTGCAGACAGCACAGCGCAGAACATCAGCGAGCATACAGGAAGAAAAAACAGCGCCGTAAACAACAACATCAGCGGATTTTACCTCTTCAGCCGTATCAATCGATTAATAATCAGAGTTATTCAGTAACAACTACAAACTATTCAGCATTCTCTTAAAAATAAATGAGCAATAAGGGTTCCGTGAGCGATGCCTTGTGATCTTAGCAATAAGGTTCTATAACACCACTGGAACCCTTGTTGGTGCTTAATATGTTTTAGTAAAGATTGAAAAGCTTATAGTTCTATATAACATAAAGAACAATTTGAATGCACAAGCGCATCTTTGCATTGCTAAATGTTTTTCCTTAAGATTGAAAACCTGCTGTTCTTCAAAGAACTTTTTGGTTCTCTATAGCTCCAGAAAGGGTTCCACCACTCAGTCAAATAACTTTTTTGGTGCTATACAGAACCATGTTTGCTATGAGTTATCTACACTATCAGAAATAAAAAGCTCTTTGGAGCTGTGCCGTCGAAGAACAACTTTTGGTTCCCTAAAGAACCTTTCAGTGGATGGTTCTGCAAAGAAACCGTTTTTGTAAATGAGATTTGTGAGTTTGCAGAACCTCACGTAAGGTTCTGTACTAATAACAGATTCTCACAGAACCGTACACGCCTGCCTGTAACCGTTTCACGTTCTGTAAACGCATGGGCTCTATGAACTGTAACAATAGTGGAACGCTTTGTGATGCTGTTTTTACAAGAACTATATGCAACAACGTGTATGCATTCAAATGGTTCTTTGAGTTGTCACGGTTCTATAGAGAACCATTTATAAGGGTGTTCTTTGGTAAAGACAGCGGTTATATAGAGAAACATAAAAACTCAAAGAAAGCTCTGAACGAGTAATAATTATTTGCACGTTCTTCCCTATGATATGGTTCTCTAAAGAACATTTAAAATGGTTTTGTACAGCATCAAAAGTCCCACTATTATTACAAGTCGAATAATCATTTTTGGTCCTATATGAAACCTTTTGTTAACAAGATGTCTCACTGAATATTAATGAAGGAAGGTTTTGCATCAGATTAACACTGTCAATGAAGCAGGTCTGATCAATTTCCCAGCTGTTGTTACACACAGTGTTACACTTTAAAGCTAATCCTCATTTCACTATTCAGCACTGAACAGTTTTTCCTGCCTTTAAACTTTGGATAATAACTTTGAAAGTAAGCTGATTTCAGGCCTATCAAAGATGACTTCTGTATTTCTCTACAACGATGACAATTTTTAGAAAAAGCTTTCAAAGCCTTAAAACTATACCATATCAATATAAAAATATTTCTTGTAGTAGGTCTATTACAAATAAAAAAAAAATCAGAGCTAGAAAGTTTCATTTCTCTGTAATGATATCTTTCTTTAAGGAGAGTCTGCCTTAATAATAAATAATAACCATCAAAATAACTGAACAACCGCTTATTTACCAATTAAAATGTATCAGACGTGCTGTAGATGTTTCGTTCACTGCAAAATAATTTGTTGTGGCTAAAAAAAAGCCAGTAAGAGAGTGAATATATGTCACTATCGTAGTATATATTACAGTTGCAGCCTGAATATATTTAGAGAAGCGAAACAAATACACTAAGACGTTTTAGTATATTTATTTATCTTCTATATAACGATTTAGAGAAGAAGAGCATAGGCCTGCCTTAATAATAAATAATAAGCCATAACTAAATAACCTTGAGTACTCTAAACTAGTGCTCTATTAGAAATTCCCTGTTTCTTTCACTGTAGCAAATGATCTGTTACTTTAGCTAAACAGGTCAGTAAGCAGGTTGTGTACAGTACAAATGACATTGCGCTGGAAAACAAAAACTCTAAAGAAGCTGTTTATTTCTCTCTATTACATATGTGTGATGAAATAATAAATAAAAAAAATAATTGAATAACATTGAAGACATCAATAAAACTGAAAGTACTGCACACCTATTTCAACCACTTTCTAAGAAATGGTTGTAACTTAAAAACTCAACATGGTGAGTTCACTGAGTCTCCAACTGTGACACCAACACAAACCCAAAACATTAAGCAATCTACATTTTCCCTCATATGTAATTTTGGAGTCCAATAAAAGGCTGACACGTTACAATCCAAAAGAAAGCGGCAACTAAACACGCATTTCTAAAAAGGATGACCAAATCAAGGCATATCGCACAGATGATTATTATAACTCGTCAAATTATTATGGAGAGGTAATGGATGAGTGTCCTATTGCCTTAAATGCTCCGTCATTCTGAGATGATCTCCACATTCCCGCTAAAATGTCGGCTCTTACCCATTTACAGGCTTTATTGGTTCCTCTGTTGCTCTGCTAAAAGCCCCGGTAAGCCCCGCTGCTCCTCGTGCGCATTGGAGAAGCCGTTTCCCGGTCAGGGCCTCCCTCCTCTCCCTCTGAAGGCCTTGCTGAGTCTCGGTTCAGGACGCAGAAGGACTGCGCTACTCTGTCCACGGGCTGCGAGTGGCCGAGCAATCTGACGCGTCAATCTCTCAGGCTGGGTTTCCAACTCCTCCCTGTTTCTACTAGACTTCCTTTTTCTCTTTCTGACATCACACTCACCAAGAGTCACCAGGCTAGTCTGCAAGATAATACTTATCTTTTATTTTTGTTTATTTATTTTTAAATTATGATTATTTATGAATGCTTAGCTCAACATTATACTGGCTTATTGTGACGATTATTACACTCTGGTAAAGACAATGGTTCTATAGCACTGTGTACACGTAAAGAACCATTTAAATTGTTCTTTGCATGTTGAAAACTGTTCTTCAGACTTATGGAGAATGTGTTGTGTTTGTTCTGTATAACACCAAAAAGGGTTCTGCTATTGTTACTATGTCAAGCTTGTATACAATAAACAGAATCCTTTTGGTGGTATGGTTCTATAGCCATACACAACAATTTCTCCATCAATCTGAAGAACGTTTCCCACATGCAAAGATCCATATAACCATGCAAGTGTTCATGGTTCGATACAGAACCACTGTCTAAAGAACCCTTGAAGAACCATGTTTTTCAAGAGTAGATATAGATGGTCTAATCAACATTAAACACTACATCTCCAGTGTAGTTTATACATACATATATATATATATATATATATATATATATATATATATATATATATATATATATGACGCAATAATGAGCACATGGTTAATTTCCCTCCCTTTTTGCGAACTAATGGTACAAACAAAAGAAAAGTAAAATAATAAATCCTCTATTACAGCTGCTCAAAATTACATCTTATCACTCACTATGTTTATGTAATTCGTATAAATATATTGTCGCTGATCGCACTAAATATATAGATTTATGTGAGTAGAGCATTAAAGGGAAATTGCAGCAATTTTCAAAATGTCTTCATAGATCAATCGTTTACATGTAAACAAAGTCGTTCAGAGTGGTTGGACGTGAAATGGTTCATAAAGCGAAACTTCCTGACTCAGATTTCTTTACAGTAGTGGTGATAGGAACCAGAAGTCACGAGCGCAAAAGAAGCCGTTCTATTTACCATCCATAATGACCAGTGAGCCTACACATGCCTTCAAAGTTTTTGATGTAATGTTATTGATGGTGAAATAGTAGTAAATCCATTTTGTTATTATTATTATTATTATTATTATTATTATTATGTTTTTTGCCTCACAATGTCCTACATGTACAACTATGGTAAAACAGTGTCTCAGGCATCACACAGCGTATTCATAACCATTTCATGTGCTAATTTTCTGTGAGGGAGCTTGCAGAGGCAGATGTCTTCAGTCGTCTGGTTCCTATCACCACCACTGTGAAGAATTCTGACTTGGTAAGTGTCTCTGGAATAGAACACTCCACATCAAACCACTCTACTTGACTTGTTTACATTTAATTAAGATAATTATGCAGAATTTTGAGAAATCTATGGAGTTCCTATTGTTGACTTGTTGACTATTACTTAAAATGTAACTCAGTTTATTACACAGTGTTTAGGACAGAAATATAATGTCAACGAAAAGATCATTTTTGTCCTTAATGTGAAAACAAGTTCCGGCGAGCACCAGAAGCTGTTGGTGAAGAAAAGTAATGGGTAACAGGTAAACAGTCTCAAAAACAATGCACTAAAAAGAAGAATGAGCCGATATTTAGGGGTAGACATTAGATTTTACTCAAATGATTTTATTCAGGAAATACTGCAAAACATTATGAATGTGTCTGTCTGTGATTGTTCTTTTGCATTTTTGGAGGTTTCTGTCATATTCAGTACATTATTCTCTGTAGGCAGTAAGACTACATAGTCTTTGTAACCAAATGACCATTATTAAATGAAATAATAAATAATTATATCTACATCTAATTATAGCTATTATAGTGTTTAGAATTAGTTTCAAGACACTTCTATCATCATTTGTCTTTTTTTTAGATCTATTAATTTATTAGTATATAATGGAAGCCGGCGGTGGGTAGATTAGCCTAAAAGAAGTACCTTCCGAAAAAAAAATAAATAAATAAAAACTTGACTAGAAGTATAAAAACATTGGACCAAAAAATACTTAAGTTCTGATTAATTTAGAGCTGCAGTGGAACTTCTTAGTACATCCAGCACCTACCAACATAGGAACTGAAGCTTGTACGACTTTACTCTTCTCTTTTTTGGGATTGTTTTGGTCTAAAACGAAACATTAAAGCTCCAAAGTCAAAGATGTGACCAACAAAACATAATAAAATTAACCCCAAAAAAAAGTTAGTAACTGAATATGAATGGCTAAAATATAACTAAGTAAAAAGTAGATGCCTTTAATCACTAATATACTTGAATAGAAGTATCATAATTTACTCAGGAGAGTACAAATCTACCAATATTTTACTTAAACACATATACTTAAGTGAATGTAACTAGTTACTGTTCTCCTCTGGTGGAAATCTTGCCTTACCATATTAATGCATAGTTCAGCATTTCAGCTACTTTTCAATCAATACGTATTAAGCAATGCTGAACAGTACCAAACTAGAACTAATTTTACTTAAAAAATCTTGGGTCGCTAATCCAAATGTGCACGTCAAGTTTGAACAAGCCACCATCTAACATGCCTGACTCTTGTCTCTTGGAAACAAAAAGTCAGTGAGAAACTTTCATTGGAAAAAATGTACTGAATTCATGGAAAAAAAGCACCAACCAGGCTGGTTCAGCATCAGACCAGAGCCGAACTCATGCACTCCATGCACACCAGAAAACATTAAGCTGTCATCCAAAGGAAGAGACGGAACAAAATAATGACCTAAAACAACACTAAATACTGACATAAAGGACAGAGGCACTGATGACCGAGTTCTCCTTGCTTTACTTTTCGCTTAATTGCTGGGATCAGTTGACGTTTCAGCTAATTAACCCGGTCATTATTACTGGAGAATTTTTTTCTGATAGATAAGACTAAATATATTATTGTTTTATCTTTGAAAGAATAAATAAACTAGACATTAATTATATTCAAGTGTCTAAGACTTCCTTTGATATACAATTGTATATCATACAATTGTATGAAAAATTATATATAGCAAGTCTATAATCATTTATAATAATATAATTCATATCACTATTTCACAGATAATGTTATTTCCTATGCTCTTAAAAAGTCGGCTCTGCAAAGATTCTTTAGTAAATGGATTGGTTCTATTTAGAATCATTAGTTGTCATGCTTAATGGTTCTTTGCATGGTGAAATGGCTCTTCAGATTGATGGAGAACGTGCTGTATGTGGTTCTATGTAGCACCAAAAAGGGTTCTTCTATTGTCAGGTCAAGCTACAGTAGATCTGAGGAGTGACTGAACAGTATGAAGTGAAGAGTTGGAGTCCACCTGTGTAAAGCCTAACAAATAATGAAATGCAAATGAGTGCGAGGTGGTCGGCTGAGGTCATGATCAGGTCAGGGAACGGACATGCAAATTCCGAGCTACATTAGACCTGCATCACTCCACCATCCGGACAGCAGCCTTGAGCTTCAACGGGCCGCTAAACGCGTTGTTATATTGAGCATTTGAGAAACTTTGTTTTTTTAGGGCCTTTACAGGATGAGCTAAAACAAGACAGGCTGTATCTGATTTAGGTTATTTAAAGCTATTCAAACAACCAAGACCAGACCATTTGAATTCATGCTGTGGTTTATTTAAACCAAGGCTGTCAACATATCTCATCTGTGAAGATGGTTTAATCCAATAAATAGATAGATAGATAGATAGATAGATAGATAGATAGATAGATAGATAGATAGACACTCATTAGAAGGGCCGTCTGGATACTTTTGGACAGATAGGATGCACTTAATTTTGGTGCATTACACAGGAATGTGTGTGAGACAGTGAGGGTGAAAACACTGTACGAACTGCCCCCCTCTGTTGCTCTCTCTCTCTCTCTCTCTCTCTCTCACCATCTTGGAAGACTCTCGCAGTGCATGCAGGTGTTGTCTAATTGCTCCCTCGTGTGGTCAAACCTGTGCAGTGCGCTTATTTTAAAAGTAGCTCAAACGCCTGTTTGTTAGATTTGGATTAAATTTGAGTCAAAGTCGACCTGAAAACAAAAGCAACCTTTGTTTATCTTAGTAAAAGTCAGTTTTAGTAGATGAAAAAGGGTTGCTTTGAATTTATGAAAAAATAGTTCTTTAGTAAAGATAATGGTTCTATACAGACCCACGAACACTCAAAGAAACATTTGAATGCATAAATGTTTTTTGCCTAGTCAAGTGGTTCTTCTCCATAATGGTTCTATACAGCACCAAAGAGATGCTATTATGTCAAGCTTATATACAATAGAACCCTTTTTGAGGCTACATAGAACCACATTCAAAAAGGTTCGATATAGGAGCAGATACAACACATTCTCCATCCATCTGAAGAAACATTTTGCCAGGGAAAGAACTAAGTGTGCAAATAACTCATAAAGTGTTCATGGTGCTAAAAAGAGCCATTTTCTTTACTAAAGAACATCTGACCATCTTCAGACTGCAGGTAAAAGTGGATCAGATACAATTTACACAATGAATATAGGCTCCTTTAACCTGACATCAAATGAACTGTGCAAACTGCTCCTTTAAACATGGAGCACAAACACAAGTAACTTTCTACAACGTTTACAGAAAAGAGGAAAATACGGGTCATTTCTGTGCTTGTTTTAGTTGTGGAAGCTGATCAAACAGAAAAAAGAAGCTCAGTTTAATTTCTTTATATGCTGTGAATAAGATCACTTGCAAAACAGTGATATGTGGACTATTCTACTGAAAGTTCCCACAGCAAAATAAAACATTTAAAAAAACAATTAAGTATTCAAATCTTAGATATTTACAAGAATTATGTTGTGATTCAAGACAAATATTTGAGATAATAAAAAGCTAAATATAAACAAAATCATCATTCATAGGGTATTTTCTATTGGGAGGCATCTGTCCCAAACCATAACCCCTAAATTTGCAC